ACCAAGTAAGTCCAGAGAAGTAAGTTAACTTGCCCCAGTGTACAGGACTACAAAGTGGTGAGAGTGGAATTGAACATCCTATCTCACGATCCAGTAGCTTTAAAAACTACTGTATTTTCCTTTTTTAGTTTTCTTGATTATGTTTCCTAAGCGGAAGGCTCTACAGATCAGTTATAACTATTATTTGTGTGTATATTAAAATACAGCATTACATCTCAATACTGTTGGATACCAAAGCTATGCTAGAAAACATATCAAATTACCATTACTAAACCATTTTGACCTACAAAAATGGCTATTTCATCTGGTTCAAACTAATGATACATTTGAAAAAGCAGCCTGCCCCCAAGCTTTAATTCCATTTACTATGCTTACAACACTATTGGTTTTAAGTCCTTCTCCTCTATTTTTAACCACCAGACTCTTGTTAACTAGCTCTCCCAGGAATGGGACATCTTAGTAGGCACTGCAAAGACAATCAATTTTCTCATCACGTGGACCTGGAGTCTACATTTTATTGGCCAAGATCTTGAAATCTTATTTTTGGAAACATAGGGTGGATAATAATACCTTTCTTATATTCCTTAGTGAAGACGGAAGTAACAAATGATTCCAATGCCTCACACATTAGTTGGCATAGGTATGCTTTCAATCATAAATATCCTCAATATCCTAAAAAATTCAACTTAATGCTGTTTAGGATTTTCCTTCTATAAGCTAAGATAAATATTTCTATATATTGAAATTATAATCCTTATCTTCTTAAATCTGTTTCGGAGTTAGTCTTTAAGCAAACCAGACAATCTTTAAGCAAACCAATACACCTGTTTGTTTTAAAAATTCAAATAAACTTACTTCTCTGTAATCCAGTCATACTGAGGACCTTGCACTTTGCTTCTCGTATACTTCAGCGATTGAATAAGCTTTGTGAACGTAATTGAAATGAAAATGTAATACTAATTTCTTAAAACATGAAAAAAATATTTTTGAGTAATTTTGACTTAGTCATATTTTATGTTTACTTTTGCTTTCTTTTTACTCTTTAAAGTATACTATATGTTATATGTGTGTGTATACATATACATATGTGTGTAGATATATAGATATAGATATAGATACAGATATAAAACTGCACTCCTAAGTATATGGCTTGATGAATTTTCACAAATTGAACCAATACTCAGACCCAGATCAAGAAACAGAATATAACCATTATCCAAGAAGCCCAATTTGTGTACCCCTTCAATCTTGTCCCCTCTGTCTTTACCAAGAAGAAACAGTATCCTGACTTCTAGTAGCAGTATACTTTTTCCTTTTTAAAAAACTTTTGTAGAAACAGAATTATAGAATCACATACTACTACTCCTTTGCAGTTGGTTTCTTGCCCTCAACATCTTACTTGTGAGATCCGTCCTTACTGTTGCCTGTAGCTGTTGTTCATGCTCATGGCTGTATACATTTCTACTGTGTGACTGTGCTGCAGTTTATTCAGGCTACTGTTGATTTCCCATTTGGTTTTTTAAATTACAGAGGGTCACAAATAATAAACGAATGAATGAATGAATTAATTAAATAGCAGAAGGTCTCTGGTTGATTTACCAAAGGTGTAAAGAGGCTAAAACAATCTTTTTTTTTTTTTTTTTTTTAACATTTATGTATTTTTGAGACAGAGAGAGAGCATGAACAGGGGAGGATCAGAGAAAGAGGGAGACACAGAATCTGAAACAGGTTACAGGCTCCGAGCTGTCAGCACAGAGCCTGACGCGGGGCTCGAACCCACAGACTGCGAGATCATGACCTGAGCCGAAGTCGGACGCTTAACCGACTGAGCCACCCAGGCACCCCAACAATCTTTTAACTTAATGAAATATCTAGATCCCTTTCCTTTTTAATTTTTTAAAAATGTTTATTTTTGAGAGAGAGAGGGAGACAGAGCATGATTGGGGGAGGGGCAGAGAGGGAGACACAGAATCCAAAGCAGGCTCCAGTCTCCCAGCTGTCAGCACAGAGTCCAACGCGGGGCTTGAACTCAGGAACTGCGAGATCATGACCTGAGCTGAAGTCGGACGTTCAACCCACTGAGCCACCCAGGTGCCCCTCCCTTTCCTTATTTAAAAAAATATATTTTTTTTAATGTTTATTTATTTTTGAGACAGAGAGAGACAGAGCATGAACGGGGGAGGGACAGAGAGAGAGGGAGAAAAAGAATCGGAAGCAGGCTCCAGGCTCTGAGCCATCGGCCCAGAGCCCGATGCGGGGCTCAAACTCACGGACCATGAGATCATGACCTGAGCTGAAGTCGGACGCTTAACCGACTGAGCCACCCAGACGCCCCTCCTTTTTTTAAACTGAAGTATAATTAACATGCAGTATTGTATTAGTTTCAAGTGTACAATATAATGATTCAATAATGCTATACATTACTCAGTGCTCATCAAAATGTGTAGTTTTAATCCTCTTCGCCTCTTTCACCCATCCCCCTACCCATCTTCCCTTGGGCAACCACCAATTTGTTCTCTGTATTTAAGAGCATGTTTTTTGGGGGGCTCCCTGTGTGGCTCAGTTGAGTGTCTGACTCTTGATTTTGGCTCAGGTCATGATCCCACAGGGGCGTGCGATAGAGTCACCCATCAGGCTCTGCCCTGAGCACTGGAGTCTGCTTAAGATTCCTTCTCTCTCATGCATACTTGCACTCTCTCTCTTAAAAAGAAAAAAACCAAAAATACAAACAAAAAAAACACTGTTTTAAAATCTTCTTGTCCTTTTTTTCTTAAATTCTACATATGAGTGAAATCTTATGGTATTTGTTCTTCCCTGACTTGTTTTACTTAGCATTTTACCTTCTAGATCTATCCATGTTGTTGCACATGACAAGACTGATTTATTGTTCTATAGCTGAATGATATTCTTTTTATATATACACACACACACACACACATACATACATACATACCGTATCTTCTTGATCCATTCATTTATTAATGGGCACTTCAGTTGCTTCTGTATCTTGGATATTATAAATAATGCTGCAATAAACACAAGGGTGTATATATCTTCTCAAATTAGTGTTTTTGTTTTCTAGTAATGGAATTACCGGATGATATGGTAATTATATTTTTAATTTTTTGAGGAACCTCATTCTGTTTTCCACAGTGGCTGCACCAATTTGCATTCCCACCACAGAGTTCCTTTTCCTTCACATTCTTGCCAACCTTGTTATTTCTTGTGTTTTTGATTTTAGCCATTATGACAGGTGTAACATTTTGATTTGCATTTCCCTGATAATGAATGATGTTGGGCCTCTTTTCATGTCTCTGTTGGCCATGTATATGTCCTCTTTGGAAAAATGTCTATTCAGGTACTCTGCCCATTTTTAATCAGTATACTCATTTTCTTGGTGTTGAGTTGTATACGTTCTTTATATATTTTCGATATTAACCCTTTATCAGATATATCATTTGGAAATATCTCTCCCATTCAGTAGTTTGCCTGATGTTTTGTTAATGGTTTCCTTTAGTATGCAAAATCTCCCAATAGTTTATTTTTGCTTTTGTTTCCCTGGTTAAGGAGACATATCTAGAATAACAATCCTAGGCCAATGTCCAAGAAATTATTATGTTTTCTTCTAAGAAAACATTAGATTTCAGGTCTCATATTTAGGTCTTTAATCTATTTTGAGTTTATTTTTGTGTATGGTGAAAGAAAGTAGTCCAGTTTCATTCTTTTGTAGGTAGCTATCCAGTGTCCCCACCATCATTTGTTGAAGAGTCTAGATCCCTTTCTTAATGGAATTCAACAGATATTTATTCATTGTTTACTGAGTACAAAATATAGTGGTTGACTCTTCAGGGATTGTAAAGACAGGAAAACACCTCTAGTGGCTTCCATTCTAATGGAAGGAGGCTTTAGATAATCTAGGGTTTTATAACCTAAAGCAAATTTTCATAAATACCTGTTGGGATGAAGCTAGGTTGTACATGGCTGTAGGAAGGAGAAAAAGTGAATAAAAGAAATAATTGATGGTTTTTCAAGAACATGTTAAAATATTTTATTAAAACCATCTTGAAAGGAAAATGCCATTAAAATTTAAATACTTCAAATTTGAAGGGCAACTCAGAGAAATAATATTGCTTGTGTTACATAAAACTACTAAATTAAAAAGTCCTTCAAAATATGATTAGTATTACAAATCAACAATCTTCTTGTGAATGTATACCATCTGATATATGTCACTGAGGTTAACCCAACCAAAAGTATAATGTTGCATAGAAAATACCATTTTTTAATTCAAAGTCAATAGTAAAAATATTTTTTTAAATAAAGCACACCAGAAAATTCAGTTAATATACAATCACTATTTCCAAAATCAACTGAATAACTCTTAATATTTTTTGTGATTCCTCCATCATTTTATATACTGTCCAGTAGCTCAGCATATATTATGTATGTCTATAAATACCTGTATCATATACTTGAAAATGCCAAGTCATTCATTCTTCAAACATTTGTTGGGTATCAACTGTATGAAAATCACTATGCTAGGAACTTCACATACAAAGACAACTGAAACTGGGTACTTGCCTTTAAGTAGCATTAGTGGGAAGACAGACTAAAATAACTGAAATAGAGTCCCTGCCATGGTACCTGGGTATGCACGTGGGGATGGTGAGGGCACAGAAATGGGGCAGCTGGATCAGACTGGAGAACAGAGGGGAATATCAGGGGACATGTCACAGAGAAGGTGACTCCTGGATGAACTCAGAGATTTTAAAGGACAAATGGCATGTAGCACATTGGGCACTGTGGAGCAGGCCGATATTCCAGAGGGCAGGAATGGAACAGAGAAGTTTGGGTACAGCCCAGGAAAGTTAGAAATATGATGCTTATCGATATTTATGCCAACATGTAGCTAAGGGCCTGTCTTTGTGCACTGCTCCTTGTCATTTTTTTAAATACTAACTTATTTTTTATTGAGTGTAACCAATACACAGCTAAAATCATTATTTTGTCACTGAATCTTGTGTTATTCCAGCTTCTGTTAGCATTTCAAAGAAAAGTCCTTTCTGGCATATCAAATTCTGTGGTGTTCCAAATTCTGTAATCCTTCCAGAGTCTAGAACAAGTACCCTGCAATGTGAAAAGAACCCAGTCAGGTAATTATAATCAGTTTTCCAGTTCACCTTTTTTTCTTTTTCTTTTTCTTTTTCTTTTTCTTTTTCTTTTTCTTTTTCTTTTTCTTTTTCTTGATAAAGTAAAGTTTAGATTACCTAGTGAGTTATGTCACTACAAAATATGGGAACCACGGAACTCAAGAAGTATATCCAGTTTTCTAATATTCTGTCAGGATTAGCATATTCTTCTAGTTGTTTCAGAAAACAACTGTTTTCAGCACAGGTAAAATTATTAATGGCAATCAGTATTTTAGTGTATTCAGTGGCTATCTCTATAGAGATATAGAGAGATGTTTTATTTCTGAAAACAAAGCATACCTATCAGAATCAATGATAGAATGCAATCTGTGAGCAATCGTCAGGATGGTACAATCGGAAAACTCCTTCCTGACTGTGGTCTGCACCAGGTTATCAGTCTCAAAATCGATGGAAGCTGTTGCCTCATCCAAGATGAGAATTTTTGTTTTTCGAAGCAAAGCACGAGCAAGACAGACAAGCTGCCGTTGTCCAACGCTGTTAAAAAAATAGTAAAATAACTTCTACAGTGGACTTTATGGCTACACACTTCCTGTTCTGTAATTCTGATTACATTGCAATTCACTTTCTAAGCCACACATTCATTTATTCAAGAAATATTTATTTTGTCAAAAGAGACAAAAATCTCAATGTGGAGTTTATATTCTTATGGGTGGACAGAAAAAATAAACATGATAAATGAGTAAAATGCATAGTAATAAGAAGAATTCAAGCACACAGGAAGGGAGGGTATAGAGAGTGGGCATGGGGTGAACATTAGATGGGCCTGCCAAAGAAACCCTCACTGGATTGAGGAAGTTGCCTTTTATTTTGAGACCCTTAGGAAGGGGAGACTGAGCCACGCAGATTTCCAGTGGAAACTTGTTCCTGGCAAAGGGAACAGAAGATGCAAAATCCCTGAGGCAGTCAAGGGCTGGCTAGGCATGTTCAGGAAACAGCAAGGGGGCCAGTGTGGCAGAAACAGAGGCAGGGAGAGAGCAACCAAGAGGCTGAGTCATGCAGCGCAGGGCTTGAGGGGATCTAGTTCTCTTATGTCTCTGATCACATGGAGGATCTAGTTCTCTTTCCTTATGTCTGATCACATGAAAGGGACTGTCATTGGTCATCAAACCGCAAGGAAGAAAAAAGGAGCCCTTTACAACATTTTTAGGAAGTTATTCGAGTAGGAGTCTTTATAAAAGAAGAGTCAATTAAATATGACTTTTCATACTGTATTGTTCCTTCCCCCCGCCCTTTCTTCCTTTCACCAGCATTTTATTCCTTGTACCTCTTCCCTAGAGGGAATCAGCAATAGTGTGCTCCGAATAGACCAAAGGAGGTCTCTGGCAACTCAGGAGCGACTTCCCTTTGAGGCTAACTCAAAGTTCCTAAGGAGCCTTGGAATGAATAACCGGACCAAGCTTTGTTCTTAGCAGCTTACCTGAGGTTTTCACCACCCTCTGAAATCTCATGCAACAGCTTCCTGGGAAGGGACTGCACAAACTCTTTTAAGTGACACAGTTCTAGCACCTCCCACAGCTGGCAATCAGAATACTTGTCTAAGGGATCCAGGTTCATTTGGAGGGTTCCAGAAAATAAAACAGGATCCTAGAGAATAAAATCATCACCAGTAATCTCATTGTCACATGATGCATAGATACATTAAAAAATTAGATTCAGAAAATAAACAAGGAAAAAGCAAAATGATTGACCTAAATAGTTATAAAATTCATTATATTGAAAACAAAAGCAGAAGACAATCAGAATAAGCTATAAGTGAGATTGAATCATTTTCAATTTCCTGATCATCTTTCTCCTTAACAATGTCAATACTAGCCATAATAATAATGATGATGACAGCTGCCATTCGGTCAGAGATATAAGATAACACAGAATTGAATAAATGCAAACTATAGTATGGACATAATGTTATCAATCATCTTCCAGAAAGATGGAAGTCCATACTCCCATTTTACAGGTAGTGACCTGGAGGTTCAAAAGAATGCTTGTCTAAATTGTCCAAAGACACAGAAGGTAAGTGGTTGGGTAGAATTCAAATAGGACAAGTCCATGCTCTTTCCAACTTACCAACATGCCTGGTGAAACTGTATATTTTACTACATCTGTATTTACTTTTAAGAGAGGAATGACTAATATCTCTTTTCTTCATTAATTTTTTCCCTGCAAGAATTCCATTCAAATTTGCTTTTGAAGTAAATTCATGAATAGAGGCATATGTCTAAATAATATGACAAAGAGATTAAAGTATTTTAAGATATTTTTAGAAGGTAATACAAAGATATCTCATAAATGCTCAGCTTAAATCTCTCAAACAACTGAATAAGTCATCTTTGACTACAGGGGCATATTCTTGAGCCAATTTGCATACTTGTTAATGATCAAGTTCCTTTGATGCCACAGAGAGACAAATCAAAGGACTTGAAAAAATGATCTAACCGAATTATTATTCTTTTCATCTTTTAAAATGTGTTTAAATTTCAAATCAAAAGAGGCAAAATTCTACACTCACTCTACCAACTAAGCAAGAGCTTTTGTAATTTTTTTTCTTCCAAAAAATACCAATGTGTGTTTCAGTCTGAGATCCACTTCATTCAAATTTTATTTGCATTTACTATTATGAAGGGAACTTGTAAAGCAATGTGCCAGTTTTTCAAATAGATAAATGCATTTAGGAAAAATACTTTACAGTAAGAATGTTTAATAGGATTCAGTTATGTAGTGATATTTCATAACACATCTAAAATGCTCTGACTTTGAAAAATGAATTTAGATGCTTGGAAGGAACACACTAAAAAAAAAGAAGAAGAAGTTTATTTAGAGGGAGTTAAGAAAGTCTACTGACAAAACAGGCTTTACCTGTGGAATAATATTAAGTTTGCCCCGAAGGTCATGAAGTCCAATAGTTGATATGTCAATTCCATCGATAATAATTTTGCCTCCTGATCTTTCCACAATTCTAAATAGGCAATTTGAAAGTGTTGATTTGCCTGCTCCAGTCCGTCCCACAATTCCAATCTGCAATAAAATGATCATGGGCAGTTTGCACTGTGGTTTTTGTAAGGGACTGGGGCTTTTGCACTGACAACAGATACACTGTCAGGTCAGCGGGATTTAATTTTGCCAACCAGAATAACCCTGACTGGCATGGAATATGTAATGTGGACTGTAAGGATAAGTCTTTACCCAGACACTCATTACTCATGGGAAAGGCTCAGGTTAAAATGTATATTTTCTCTACTTTTGAGTTATTTAATAACCACATAACCAAAACACGCCAGCAGCCCCAGGAGGAGCAGACCACCCCTGACCTATCCTGGGACTAGCCATTAAGAGTGTGGCCAAAGATGACTCTGATAATGGGGTGGTTTTCTTGGGACTTTCAAAATGAGGCTTCTCTAACTCTCCTTGCCCCCCGAGGGACAAACAAACAAAGGGAACAAAGGGAACAGGAACCCTTTGCCAGAAGAATAGCAAATCCAAAGGAATGTTTGCAAATTCCCTTGGTGTATCAAAACAGGTACTGCACTAAAACTATAGAAGGTGGCCACAGATAACATGTAGGATCTTGGATTCCTGGACAAAATAATCACCTTGTCATAAATAGCAAATGATTGCAGATATTCCTTTGACCACGAGGACTGAAGCAATTCCTCTGGGTGTTGATTTGTACTTTGGTGTTAATGGGAACATAAGGCAGAGAAAACATTACGGAGGTTGGTTTTCCCTGATAAAAGATCTTAAATCTGACACTCTATGCCAGAAAAATCAGGAATCCGTTAAATTAATTGGCATAATCAAAATTCCACAGTGATTTCATTTGTTCCAAAGACATTTTTTTGTCCTTGATGTTATGCAGTGGACCTGGTTTAGACATTTAGAAAAAGAGATGGCTGGGGTTACAAAAGCCAGGTCTGTAAAAGAAAAAATGGGCCACTGCCGTTAATTTTTTGTTCATTTTTTTTTTACTTTCACTTATTTGTAAAATCTTTCTGTCTAGGGAAATAATATGTTTTGATAAAACATTTTCAACACTATGGGAAAAACTATAGAAGTAGAAACTATTTATAATCCTGTCACCTGAAGAGAACTACTATTTATGTTTTACAACTGTTCTAGGATTTTTGCTAATGTGTTTACCTGTTTGCTTTTTTAAAACAGAAAATTGATATAGTATCAACAGTTTTGTATATAGTTTTTATTAATCAAATTACATCTCAAGTATTTTCCCATCTCACTAGTAATGCTGGAAAACATGTCATTGACTATACAGATATTCTCTCCTATGAATTTACTATATTTCAGGTAACTTAATTTTATTGTCTTATTATCACTCTTTACCTAATAGAGGAAGTAAAAATAATAGTACACTACTACTGGGTATATATCCAAAGGAAATAAAATTAGTATCTTGAATTGAAATCTGCACTCCCATGTTCATATTCCCAATAGCCAACATATGGAAACAACCAAAGTGTCCATAGAAGAATGGATAAAGAAAATGTACACACACACACACACACACACACACACACACACACACACACACACTGGAATACTATTCAGCCATAAAAAGAAAGGGAATCCTACCATTTGTGGCAACATAGATGAACCTGGTGGACATTCTGCTAAGGGGAATAAGCTATATGGAGAAAGACAAATACTGTATGATCTTGCTTATACATGGAATCTACAAGTCAAACTTGTAGTACCACAGGGTAAATGGTAGATACCAGGGACTGAGGAGTGGGCTAAATGGGAAGATGTTGGTCAAAGGGCATAAACTTTCAGATGAATAACAAGAACGTGTTCTAGGGATGTAAAGTACAGTGAGCTAACTATAGTTAAGAGTACTGTATTGTATACTTGAAATTTGCTAAGACAGTACATCTTAGGTGTTCCAACCACATGCAAAAATAAATGAATAAATAAAACGTACACTAAAATCATGTTTCATAATATAGTATGCACAATTTAAAAATACCTTTTTTAAAGTTTATTTATTTATTTTGAGAAAGAGAGAGAATGAGTCGGGGAGGGGCAGAGAGAGAGAATCCCAAGCAGGCTCCACATTGCCAGTGAAGAGCTTGATGTGGGGCTTGAACTCACAAAACTGTGAGATCATGACCTGAGCTAAAATCAAGAGTATGATGCTTAAGCAACTGAGCCACTCAGATTCCCCTAAAAATACCTTTTTTTTTTTTCTTCAATGTTTATTTATTTTTGGGACAGAGAGAGACAGAGCATGAACAGGGGAGGGGCAGAGAGGAGGGAGACACAGAATCGGAAACAGGCTCCAGGCTCTGAGCCATCAGCCCAGAGCCTGACGCGGGGCTCGAACTCACAGACCGCGAGATCATGACCTGGCTGAAGTCGGACGCTTAACCGACTGCGCCACCCAGGCGCCCCCCTAAAAATACCTTTTTTAAAAGAGGAAATTTTATTCTATATATAGCAAACAGTTGAGTTTAATACTTTTATATGAAATTTGAACAAAAGACCATCTTCTATTCCGTACTGTATTAAACTTGGACCTTAACAATGAATACTTTCAGATAAAAAGGAGAGTGAAACTTATGAAATGTATATGGTACCTTCTCTTCTCCATGAGTCTGGAAAGTGATATCTTGTAATGCTAAACCAAGATCATCTCGGTATCGAGCCTGATAATTAATAAATTCCACTATTCCTTTGTTGGGCCATTGTGCTGGAGGCCTTTTAGACATTATCCAGGGTGCCTTGAAACAAAGAAAGATTACAATAACTACAATAAAAGTACCTTTCCCTCTAAAAATAATTACCATGCATAAAAAACACAAGTGATGGAAAACATTTGTGGATATTATGATCTCCTGAGTACAGTTTTAAATATTGCCGGCATAAAACTTCTCATCTAGTTATAAGAAAGCTTAGAAATAAATTTTTAGAGGTAACCAGGCTTCCCACTCCCTATCCAGTTATTAAGAAGAGTCTTCTTAAACCCTACAAAGGAGCTGAAGGTAATCTATTTGAAATTGCAGCTGAGATGAGGACAGTTTGGCATTCATTCATTGCCCAAATACTGAGTATTTACTATGCTAGTCAGTGCTTTAGTTGCTGGAGATTCAGCAGTGAGCAAAACAGACACAAATTCTTGCCTTTACAGAGCATACAGCCTGCTGGGAAGGGACAGAAAGAATCACATAGCATATGCAAAATGCTAAACAGTGATAAAGCTTTGGAAGACGGGAGATAGGCAAGTTAGAGGTGGTGTGATTTTTAAGTAGGGTGGTTAGGAAAGGCTCGGTTGGACAAGATATGAGAACAAGCTGTTGGGATATGGGTTGAATCACTTTCCTGGCAGGCACCTAACAACACGTGCTGAGGTCCTGAGACAGGGACTGCCTGGGATGTTGGGGGAACAGGAGGAAGCGGAAGAACACGCAGGAGAGTGTGATGTCTGGTGGGGAGGTGCAGTGCTTTCATGAGAGGGAGTGATGCCCAGTGTCAGATGATGGATCAGGTCAAGGGAGGCCTGAAAGGAGACCACGGGTGATCTCCAAGGGCAGGTTCAGTGAAGTGGTGGAATTAAAAGCCTGTTTGGAGTGAGTCCAAAGTAGGATGAGAGAAGTACAGGCTATTCCAAAGAATTCTGCTGCAAAAAGTGCAGACAACGTGGGCTACAGAGAGATAAACAGAATTATCTGGACAGTTTACTTCTTGCATGTCAAGAGGTTTTATAACTTGAGTTACCAAATTACATAAAGATGATTTTTTTTAATGTCTATTTATTTATTTTGAGAGAAAGAGTGCATGCAAGTGGGGGAAAGGGCAGAGAGAGAGGAAGAGAGAGAATCCCAAGCAGGCTCCTCACTGTCAGCACAGAGCCTGACTCGAGACTTGAACCCAGGAACCGTAAGATCATGACCTGAGACAAACCCAAGAGTTGGGTGCTTAATGGACTGAGCCACCCAACCACCCCACATAAAGATGATTTTGTTTTAAAAATGTGTGGGTGTGGGTGTGTTATGTGTGTATTCACACACATTTTATTGTTTTTTACAATATGAAAAGAATATATATATAACATTTATACATATAAAAAGTTTACTTATAAAAATATTTATACAAATATTTAGAAAATACAGAAAACAATAAAATGATACAGTGGCAATAGGCTGAGCAAACTGAATACTGATAATTGGAGGTTGTGAAGGTAGATTAACCTTCCATGAACCATGTGTGAAAAAAGAGGTTAAGACCTGAGGAAGACTCTAGAGAAGAATCAAAGTTTAGGTAGAGATGGAGGATATAGATATTAAAATTTTTTAAGTTTATTTATTTTGAGATAGAGAGGCAGGGAGGGGCAGAGAGAGAGGGAGAGAGAGAACTCCAAGCAGGCCCCTCACTGTCAGTTCCCAGCCCAATATGGGGCTTCTAGTTGTGAGATGATGACCTGAGCTGAAATCAAGAGTCCGGATGCTTGACCTACTGAGCCACCCAGGAGCTCCAGGCTGTTGACAATATTTTAGCATGTTTGTAGGTTAAGAGAGGCAAGGGGGTCAGGGGACTGATACGTAGGAATTAAAGGAAGTGGTTAATGAAGCAACATCTGAGAGAAAAAATGAACAAATATTACCAAAAATACAAGTAGAAACTCAGGTTTTCTATTTGGAGGAGGGACACCTCTTCCTGAGAGACATGAGCAAAAGAGGAATGTTTCATGAAGATTCAGATACCTTTACAGGTGGACTGAAGAAGATACAGAAACTCAAGTCAACTATAACATCTGCCTTGTTAATTCATGGAACTGGGAGACAGAAGTAAATCAGATTAGTAAAATACACTGATATCTCAAATATTATACTGTCAATAGTCTAATTCTTCTACTCTTCAAAAAAATTTTTTAAATGTTTATTTATGTTTGAGAGAGAGAGAGAGAGAGAGAGAGAGAGAGAGAGAGAGAGAACAGGAGAGGAAAGGGCAGAGAGAAAAGGAGACACAGAGTTTGAAGCCGGCTCCAGGCTCTGAGCTGTCAGCACAGAGCCCAATACAGGGCTCAAACTCACAAACTGTGAGATCATGACCTGGGTCGAAGTTGGATGCTTAAGTGACTGAGCTACCCAAGGACCCCCTTTAAAAACTTTCTTTTAATGTTTATTAATTTTTGAGAGACAGAGAGAGAGAGACAGAGTGTTAATTTTTCTACTTCTTTCTTAAGTTTATTTATTTTTGAGAGAGAGAGAGTGGGGGGGGGGGGGGGAAGCAGAGAGAGAGAGAGAGAGAGAGAAGGAATCCAAAGCAGGATCTGTACCACCAACACAGAGCCTAATACTGGGATCAAACTCAGGAATCTTGAGATCATGACCTGAGCTGAAATCAAGGGTCAGGTGCTTAATTGACGGAGCCACCCAGGCACCCCCAATTCTTCTCTTGTCTAAATTATAACTAATTAAAGGAAAGAAAACAGACTGATTTATTCTCCTCCTCCTTCCCATGTGCAGAGATGCTAATGATGAGTAAATGAAACAGAAGGCATAAGCAATAAATATATAGTTAATTTAAAAATTGCACAGGCTTTAATTATGAGAGCACTATATTAATACACCTTTCTCAACATAAAATCCTCACAAAGTTATAATCTTAGATTGCATATTTTACTCTACGTTGGTAGAGGACAAATCATTGTGCCTTCTAAAAACAAGTAATCATATTTCATTTTTATAACATAACAAATGTTATATATCTTACATTTTACAAATGTATCTTACATTTTATGTATTATCCTAATTTAGTTATCTGTGGTCTTTTCTTCTATTTTTGTGATATATAAAATAATGGTGTATTCCATAATACATTGGGTTTTAATTTTATTGAAATGCTGAATATTAAAACATGAATTTGGAAAGGTAGGCTTTGTTTAAAATTTATTTTTTTATTTTATTTTTTTAAACATTTAGTTATTTTTGAGATAGAGAGAGAGACATAGTGTGAGTGGGGCAGGGGTTGGGGGCAAAGAGAGAGAGGGAGACAGAATCAGAAGCAGGCTTCAGGCCCCAAGCTGTCAGCACAGACCCTGACGCAGGGCTTGAACTCACAAACTCTGAGATCATGAGCTGGGCCGAAGTTGGACACTTAACCTAGTGAGCCAACCAAAATTTTTTTTAAATGTCAATTCAAGGTGCACTACAATATCTCAATCCTGCATCTCTTTATTGGTTATTTAGGAGTGCTTACCTCTTTACCCATATTTTCATATTCACAAACTCTTTCAATGGAAACTGCATTGGTTTCAATTTCACAAGCTTTCCTTACCCAAAAATTCAGAGATTGAGTAATCTGGAGGGAAAAACCCAAGAGCTTACTGACTGGTTCTTTAGTATTTTACATAATATTAATCATACTTTATACACTTTCACTTTTCATAGTTTTCATGTACTTTTCTCTCTTCTGATTATTTAACAACTTTAGAAGTAAATATATTTATACACATGCACACAAGTGTTTCTTTATGTTAAACTGATCAATACAAACAATGTTTTTTTGGCAGAAGATAGAATGAATATAGTTCAGCAGGTATTGAAGGAGTCCATACTTAGCGTGAGGAACGGTGGATACCAAGACTGATGAGATGTGCCTCAAGAAATGTACGTCCCAAGTGAGAAAAAAGTTGTGAATAACATTACCTTTGGCAGGATTCACTGGAAGCAGGAATCTCCTAACCCTTGACCACTCTTGTCTCCTCTTTTTTTTTAAACTCTACTTTCTTCTCACCCTACCCACAAGTACAGGAGGTAATTCAAGCCTAATTCTGGACGTCAAACAACTCTTGTTAGTTCAGTTTTTCCTTAAGTTTGCTGCCAAATCATTTGATGGCCAACCTGACTTGAACTGACATGGGGCTCTTTAAAGTCTTTACTGAACCCACTTAGAGTAAACATTCATATATTTTACTGCAAAGCAAGTAGTTTGATTATGGGATTCTGCCCCAGACCTTGACTATGGTATATGTGTCATTATTTCCTTTCTACAAGACTAAGTTCTGAATTCTGAAATGCAACTGGCCTTAATTAAGGTTTTTGGATAAGGGATGAAGGGCAAGTACCCACATCATCTAGACTTATCCTCTAATAATATGTAATTATACTAAGTAATTTAAGGAATATTCTATTTTACAAAGAGGGCAAGAACACACTCATACCACTAGTACTTTTCAATGTAATATAAAATAGGGCTTATTAGGGAAAAACTTATAAGCAAAGAAGGAGAGCATGTACTCTCCCCAGAGTTTGCATTATCTCCTTGGTTAGACTGGGCAAACTGGATTGGCAGGCCACAGTGGAAAGAGCCCCCCCCCCCCCCCCCCCCCCCCCCCCCCGCCGCCCCGTTACATGCTATAAATCCATAAAGATAGGAGAACAAGAAACTTCTGGGTAACTGTGTAACAGCAGGAGTTTCCTGGTCTTTTAGCACTCAGCCTGTTCTTTCTGTGAGCTGACTTAGTATTGCTGAGCCAGCTTCCTGCTAGTAGCAACAGAGGAAGAAATGAGCCTCCAGGGCAATCCAGATTTGTCTCTCATTACTTAGTTAATACAATCTATAATTCAGACAGGCAAAGGAGAGGATAGTTTAATTAATTGCATTATAAACATATCATATACCACAAAATCATTATTACTTACATTTAGGGCATAGGATATGGACAAGCCAACTATTGCTGAATCTATCGAACTGCCAGCCAGCACAGCAAGCAGTGCAGCAAAAAATACCATTAGGTTGCCAAGGAATTCAAGTCTAACAGACAGCCACCTGTGATAATGGAAAATATTCTTCAACTGAGATGCAAGATTTTTGGTGTACTTGGTCTGAACTCTCCTCTGGGAAATGGAAAATAAACATCAATAACTGCTTTCTTTTCCTAAGAACTCAGTCAAAATAGGACGATTGCAGTGATGATACATTAAAGGATTCCTTTGCATAAAAACACTTTACTTTTGCAGAACTTTGCTTTAAACCTTAATCAGAATAAAAAAGTCAAAAAAGAACACCAGCTAAAATGATGCGTCGTATTTTAAAATCCTATTAGAAAATCAATCACCTTTCCGATTACATATCCTTTTTTCTATGGTAACATTAGTCTCCAAAAGTTATATGTGCCCCACTATTATTTAATATTTCATTTTCCTCTGTATGTAAAATGATGATCTCAAATTTAAACTATTATAAAGTATTGCTTGCAAATAGAACATATTCTACAAATATAGAATATAACAGAGTCATATCTCTAGAAATTCCAATAGCATCCTATATGACCTTCAAAAAACTTGGGACCTTATTTTCATGTAAAGTAGATTGTACTTTTATATGAATATGAACAGATACATTTTAACTTAAATGTCCATTAAATATTAGAAACAGTTAAGGCTTTCTTCTTTTTCTTTTTTTAATAATTTCATGAAATGCCATTGCAAAACATTCCTTCTGTTTAGAAGTCAGGGCACAAGACATCTTAAAAGAGACTGGTCTTGAGGTAGGTATATTGCTCTCACTTACCTGTTTGAAATTACATTATTGTAGAAACAGACCAAGTTCTCATTCACCACCTCTTTGTTTTGCTGGATAAACCTCTGTTCGTGTCCAAATGCCCGGATAGTGGACACCCCTGATAAAGTCTCACTAAAGTGGGAAATGATAGGAGAGCGAGAGGCTCCTGCCAATCGTCGAATCTGCCGAGAGCTTGCTACGTAGTATCTCTAACCGGAAAACAGAAAAAGGCAGTTGGAAAGATGGAGCAGAAATTGCTTCCATAGTTTGAAAATGACAAGACCCCAAAAAGTGAAGTTCAAGTTCAGTCTCCAGTACCTGTGAGTGTGGCTTTATTTGGGAATGGAATCTTTGCAGATGTCATTAAGGATCTCCGGATGAGATCATCCTGGATTTAGGGTGGGCCCTAAGCCCAACTCCGAGTGTCCTCATAAGAGACAGAAAAGGAGAAGACAAAGCCACAGGGAGGAAGCCATGTGAGGATGAGATTGGAGAAATGTGTGCATAAACCAGGGAAAATGCCAACCATTGCGAACAGCCACCAGAACCAGGAGAGAAGCATGAAACCAATTCTCCCTCAAAGGCTCCGGAAGGAACCAACCCTATGTACACCTTGATTTTGGACTGTTGGCCTCCAGATCTGTGAAAGAATAATTTTTTTTTGTTTTTTTTAAGCTACCAAATTTGTTACAGGAGCTCTAAGAAACGAATACACACTTGGCACAGTAAAAAACCCAGATTCTGGACAGCACAACTAGAACAGAGGTGGGTAAGGTTCTACTTTGGTAATCTTTTCAAACAACCATTACTGAGCACCTGCTATGGAAAAAGCTCTATGTCACATGTTGGAAATGTGACCAGGGAGTGAACCCATTAAGTGAAGGAAGTTAGTCAAGTATACAAACAATACTATTTTTGTTCCTAAATATAATTATGGAAAAAATATTCATTTTTCTGGTCTACAAGCACTTCCCTCCAGTGCAGCCACAAGTATAATTGGCTACTTCCCCTCCAACTTGGTTGAGAATAATTGGGATGGGCAGAGACTGGAGGGCTGGAGGGAGCATGTCCTAGTTAACTGGACCATCATTCACCCACCCCAGATAATCACAACACACCGGAAATGAAAATCAAGAATTACCACGCTTTGCAATGTTTTCAAGAAAAATCTTTGGGCTTGGAGTTTTATGTAAAATCACTGATTTTAAAATGTCTTCATTTTAGTAAAAAACACTGAGCAGGCTGGACACAAACATATTGGAAACTCCATATGGCCTGTCAACTTGCAGTCTACCAGCTCTGCTCTGTGTTAAGTGCCCTGGAGAACACAGAGGAAGGATTATGGCATTCTGGGATTGCAAGGGGACTTCAGAGATTGTCATAAAGAAATTTGCAGGAAATTTCGACGAATTGCAAAAGCACTGGAGTTCTTCCACAAATCTATCTAGAGTATTTAGTTTAAGAACTATTGATCTAGATCAATGTTTCTCATACTTTAATAAAAATCACCTGGAAGGTAAAACACAGACCGTGGGCCTCACCATGATAGATTCTTTATTTCCTCCCAGTTTTATTAGAATGTGATTACCAAATAAAAATTATATATGTATACATTAAGATGTGATTTTTTAAAAAAGAGGTACAACCAAAGATTCTGATTCAATAGGTCTGGGGTATCTCCCATAGGTCTAGGGACCATACTTTGAGTAGCACTGATATAAAACAAAACTCCTGTTTTATAGGGGGGATCAATGAAGCCTAGAAAGGGAAGTGATGTGCCAAACATAAAAGTCAGGAAAGTAATTAGAATTTGAGGCTCTTGAATTCATATTCAGGTCTCACTCCATACAGTGTCCCCTAACAAGAGATGGTTTCTAGATCGTTTCCACTCCTGGTCACCCTGTTATAGTCTACCAACCACAAGACTATCACATAAATTTTCTTTTGTGATATGAGGGTTTTTTTTTTTTAAGCAGGTACAATTGTACCATCAGTACCATCCTTCATGGTCTAGATTTGTTTCTTTTAGCCCTAAGATGTAGTTGTCTTCCCTAGAAGACTTACAATCTCATTGGAGAGATAATTTGTGGTCTAAAAATAGCCTGTAATACTAGTAGTATAATAAATCAATAATACCTGAATGAGTCTCATCTCTTTGCACTATTTTGGTAAAGAATACTTCATTCACACAGAAAATGAAATATGACCTAGGCCATGAAAGGTAAGTAACATCCAGTCAGGCAGAGAAAATAGGGAAAACATAGAAAGTAGGAGGAATAATAATCACAAAGGTGTAGAAATAAGAAAATGATTAACATTCTGGTTTGGGCAGATTAAACTCCAATACGAATTTTAAAACTTGGGTTTTGGGAAAGCACTGAACTACAAGAACTGCATCCTTTCATGTAAACAGCCTCAAAATACTTTCGTATTTAAATTAAATACGTGTTAAGACATCTCATTAAAAAATAAATTTCATTTTACACTGTAGTCTCACAGTGACATAATTTTGGAATGTGGTTGACCACATTTTAATTGGAATATAAAGATATATATCATGTCATGAGAGATCTGTTTAGTTCTTCTAGGAGTACTTTGCCGATATCAGGGATAACAGGACAAAAAGGCAGCATCTGTTTCTCTCTTGGATTTACAGACAAATTAACTTTCTGCTAAAATGCAAATACCATATAGATTTTGTGGTGACCATAAAAATACACAACTCAGTTCTCCAGCTGCAGGGAGAACAGCTGACTGTCAGTCCGGCTGCTGCCCCGGCATCTACTACTCTATTAAGCATGGAGGCCATGTTACCCACAGGTTGTTTCCAGGCAATGAGTGGGGATGGCAGGGGTGCTAGAGCAGGCCCATCTCGGGGACACATGGAATACTCCAATGGGTGACATTGGTTGTAGATTCCCCATCCATTTGATGAATCTTTCATGGAACTGTCCTGTAATCCAAGATTTTCCCTACCCAATCCTCTTCTCTCCCTCACAGGAATCAGACATGCATTGCTGTCTGAGGGCTCACCCCTTGGCTCCCTCTCCTCTATCTTTTGCAGGCATTCTCTAGTCATACTCTACTATATGGAATCCTTTCTTGGAATCTACTTTTTGGAGAACTTGAACTAACAGGCAATTGAAGTGGGCTTGAACCTATAATTGACTGTGAACTTCTGTTATTAATACACATAAAAGTCCATGTACTTACCTGTATAGTGAAATAGAGGAAAACCAAGGGAATAACCCCCAGAATGAAGAGTGGTAAAGCTCCTACAATGACCAAAACTGTTCCAATAACATCCAATGTACAATTCACCCAGGTCCGTAAGTAGTAATGGAAACGCATATCAATTATAAACATGTCCTAAAAAATTGATATCAGGTCACTATATTTTTAACTTTTCATGGTTTAAAATGAGAAGAAGAAGAAATATATCATTCAATGTAAAAATTTTAAAAATACTTGGATGTGACAATATGATGATTGAATACGTCTAACTACATGGTCTTTGCCCTTCCCAATCTATCCCCACATATTTTCCCCCTGTAGTCAGTTGTAATAGTTAAGAGGGTATTTAGTAACAAAATGCCTATGATCAAGCAATGTGTGTTTCCCAGTGACAAATACACAGCACTTAGTTTATATGACTAATATCAGACTCTGCTTAAAAAGATTTTAAAAAAGAGTCCAAACCCCAGTAATTGGGTGTTCAGGAGCATTGGCCTAGCACTAGTCACTACTTAAAATATGTAAAATACTCCTGGGCCATTCTTATCCATCAAGAACACGTTCAGTGGCCTTCTTGGCTAGCTGGGTCCTGTCAACATCACAAAAGGCAGGAAAACAAAATAATTTTCATTTACAAAATTAGAAACTGAAAGATTGAAGTGGACAATGGGAATGAGAGAAGAACATAGCGGGGGTTTCTGGGTGGCTCAGTCAGTTAACTGTCCAACTTCGGCTCAGGTTCCTGAGTTTGAGCCCCACATCGGGCTCCCCACAATAGTGTGGAGCTTGCTAAGGATTCTCTCTCTCTCCCTTTCTCTCTCTTCTCTCTCTGCCCCTCCCCTCCTCTCTCTCTCTCTCAAAATAAACTTTTAAAAGAGAGAGAGAGAGAGAGAGAGAGAGAGAGAGAGAGAACATAGGAAGGTCATCTATCAATTCACATATAACTTAATCAAATTTATGTTGTCAAATCTATGGTATAAGGTATGACCTATGAAATCCCAGGGAATAGGAAGACATCCAACCTTAAGGGATCAACTAATCAGCTTATAACAAAATTGACACAAAGAGTGGAGCTGGAATTTTATTAATTCTAAGTCTTGCTTTGGGATTTTCCTGATTATCTCATGAACCAAATAGGGTAAGAGCATCATATCCGTATGTAGTTTCTTGCCTGTCTTTATTTTTTTTTATTTTTAAAAAATTTTTTTAACGTTCATTTATTTTTGAGACAGAGAGAGAGACAGAGCATGAAGGGGGAGGGGGGGTCAGAGAGGGAGACACAGAATCTGAAACAGGCTCCAGGCTCTGAGCTGTCAGCACAGAGCCCGACGCGGGGTTCGAACTCACGGACCATGAGATCATGACCTGAGCCGAAGTTGGAAGCTTAACCGACTGAGCCACCCAGGCGCCCCTCCTGCCTGTCTTTAGAACACACCTTCCCAGGGCATCTGGGTGGCTCAGTTGGCTAAGTGACCAACTCTTGATTTTGGCTCAGGTCATGATCTCATTGTCCAGGGATTCAGCCCTGCATCAAGCTCTGCTTAGCACGGAGCCTGCTTAGGATTCTCTGTCTCACCCTCTCTGCCTTTTCCCTGCTCATGCTCTCTCTCTCAAAATAAATAAATAAACATTAAAAAAAACAGTAAATATAATGGGGGAAATCCTGGAGGTAAGCAGAGACACTCTGGGAAGCTATACCCCTTCCCACATTCACCATAAGTGAGTTGACAGTTTACTTAAAAGCAGAATGCTTAAAATACAAATGTCTCCATAAAGAATTAAATTTTCTTTACCTTCTCAGCTTAAATTAGTGATTCTCAAGCTAAATATACACAAGAATTGGAGTTGTAGACACCAGAGCACATATACTTTTTTGATTCTTCCAGCAATTTTCAAGGGTTATTTTGATTATGTGTGTAAGATGTGATACTGCTATACATCAATTATAAATATCCCAAGAATTAGAAATACAATACCAAAAAAATCTATACTAAACATAATCCCATCTTTTCAGGGTGATTTTTTTTTTTTTACAAATGCTATTGCAAAGGGGTGCCTGGGTGGCTCAGTTGCTTAAGCGTCCAACTGCACTCAGGTCATAATCTCGCGGTTCATGGGTTTGGGCCCCATGTCAGGCTCTGTGCCCCATGTCAGGTTCTGTGCTGACAGTTCAGAGCCTGAAGCCTGCTTCAGATTCTGTGTCTCCCTCTCTCTCTGCCCCTCCCTCACTCATGCTCTGTCTCAAAAATAAACACTAAAATTTTTTTTTAAAAATTTAAAAAATGCTATTGCAAGGTATTAAATATGGATCATCATTTTTAAGCATACTATTCAATAAGGTACAGCTTTACTAACCTTGGTGAACCGATTGATTATCTGGCCTACAGGACTGGTTTCAAAAAACTGGAGCGGGAGGTGTAGCACATTATCCAATAGCTGAGCATACAATGTTCGAGAGGCAGCCAGGGACCCTCGAGTGAGTATATAGGCTCCAGAGCAGACAAAGAAACCTAAAAACAAATTGTTATCAAGGGCATGTTAACCTTTTTAAGGAATTTTATATTTTAATTCTCAAAGTGTTGTTTATCATAGCATTTTTTAAATGGAAAACTCAAAGAGCAAACTTAACATGCGACTGTGGATCAAACTAAGTATAAATGTAAATGGTGCATTTATAATAAATACAGACACTCTGATGGGTTGCAATCCTATCAAAGAAGAACTCTCCTTATTCATGGGCATAGATTCTAGAGTAATGCACAAAATATAACAGATCAACCAGGTTCACAGAATTCTAGCAACCTATTTGTGATGTCCCATGGGACAATATGGTAGTCACTGGTGCTGCTAGCCAAATAATTTCAGTTCTCCTAGCTTCTAGTCCATGGTAGAGTTGTCCTTTCTGGTCTCCTTGTGATGTAGGGGACCATATCAAGGGTTCTGAAGAACAAGTTGAGGGAGAAACAACACATAACACCAGGTTAAAGCATTTAATTGCTGGTACCAGAACTGCTCACGTTTATTCCTTGTACAGTGCCTGTTAACATTTATAATGGTGGTTGGATTGCTTCTTCAACTTGGGTCACAAGAACAAGTGTAGTCCTTTACTTGACCCACAATGAACACATTTTTTTTTTTTTGGTCTGTTAAGCTACTGAGATTTGGTTGGTGGAAGAGTTTTTCTTGCCACAGCTGAAAAGGCAGACATATAAATAATAAGCATCTAGCTTTATCTATCGACTATTGTTACTTGCATTTGACCAAGTATGACAAGAAAGAGACAAGCTCATAGAAGGCTATCCACGTGGGAGAGGAAATGAAAGGACAAATAATTCTCAAAATGGAGAACTTATAGGGCTAAAAGAAGTCATGCTTCGTTACAGTTATTGGTCAAGGATGTATATGTGATTCAAATTGTTTCAAGGAGTAAAATTTTATGAATTTCTACGAACTTCAAAGGAAGTTCTTTGAAAGAGAACATTTCCATCATCATGTGAAGCCTGAGAATTAAGCCAATGAGGACAACAAGTAGAGTTCGTAAAGAATAGTGGACACTTCATCTGTAGTGTGTATAATGACCTATGCCTAGACTTTTCAGTCTGGGGAGCCAATAAATTCCCATGTTACTTATGCTAGTTTGTTCTGAGTCACAGGGGATACACAGTTGCTCCACTGCTCTCTAATACACGAAATTGCTAACAAAAGTGTGATGTCAGCATAATTCTTATACCCTGAAAGTATGTTTAAAACAAAAGAATGGTAGTTAACCCTGATCATCTTAAAATTATTTTAACTAATTCCTTTATATTTTAAATAATATCATATGCTGCTGTTAAGTGATTTCTAACTTTATACATTTTCTTTTTTTTTCCTACCTCACTCCCCCATACTTCCCTCTTTCCCTTTCAAAAACAGGTTGTTACCCTCTTTCCTCAAATAAATATCCAATGTTTATATTGCCACCAAACATACATTATGTATGAAGTTAACAAAATTTATTATGGTTGTACCATTCTTTTTTCATATTCTTAGTTTTCTATGCAACAAGCACTAATTCATTCCCAAACACTTCAATTGTCAGCAAATCTTTTCCAAATATATTCAGACTCATCAGATATTCTATTTCCTTCATCCTATTTAGCCCTCTCCTGTTTTGCAGCATCATCTACTCTTTTGGAACCCTCTCACTTTCCACTCTAACCTGGAATGGTTGCAAGATCAGAACACTTGCATTCTTCAGTTTTGGGAAATGCTAAATATTGTGAATTTGACCATTTTCACCTGCATTTATTGAAAGATGTATTATGTGAATGTTGAACTTGCTGGATTATTCCCTTAATTTTCTTATTTATCATTTCGATTTATATTTTTTATGTTGTACTTCTGGAAAAATGTCTTCTAACATATCTTCTCACACTTGTATAATCTCTTTAAATTCTTTAAATGTTTCAAGTATTTTTTGTCTATGATTGAACTTTTTTCAGCACATTTTTGCACTGGCTTTGTGGATATAGTATTTTGAATCTCTGAAGATACTAATTTGACATTTTAAGCTTCTTTTTCAAATAGGATTGTTTCATTACTAAACTCCATTGCTTGATTTGTTAGCCCTTATTTATACTGTTGGTTTAATTAAAATGCAAAATCATTCATCATTATCAGTTTAAACGTATGAAATAAACACATGGTTAATTAATAGAGGTACCTGATGGCTTCCTTCTGCTATTGCACACATTAATTTCCCCCAACATTTTTTTCCTCTGAATGGAAGAAATTGCTTCAAATTCCACAAAATTGGGTAGGTGTGACACAGAGAGTCTGGAATACTGGAATATAGACACATAGGCTGGAGCTTCTCCAAAAGCCATTTAAGGATTTCTTCTATGTATGTCACACACACTAGAAACCCTCATTTCCTCTTTATATATCAACTTTCTAGTTTTCATTGTATCACCACAATGAAATTACTACAATGACAGTTGCTGTGCACATTGGTGACGGTGGTGGGTGTTGTAGGAGAGGCTAATGGGAGGAGAACAATGGTCTAGTGAATTATTTTGATTATTTCCATGCAATTCAATCCTATTCTCTACCCATGACCATGAGTTTAGTGTTTATCCACTGCTCAAAGGAACAACTCCCTCTTCTGTTACAGCTTCTCCCATATCTACAGGTTCCTCTACCCTTGATTATCTATCAGTATAATAACTGCTTATGTAAAACTTTATCACTCTGAAATCTTCTGAAGTCTTTCCTTTATATTTATTCACTGTCATTTCAGTGGTATTTTGTGAGGTAAGTAAAGGAGATGATCCACTTACTCATGTTAAACTAGAAACAGCAGTGTACTCTAAACAGTGCACTTTGGGGACGTCTGGCTGGCTCAGTCGGTTGAATGTCTGACTCTTGATTTCAGCTCTGATCATGATCCCAGGGTCATGAGATCAAGCCCCAGTTGAGCTCCATGCTGGGCATGGAGCCTGCTTGGGATTCTCCCTCTCTGTCTCTCTCTCTCTCTCATTCTCTCTCTCTCCCTCTGCCCCTTACCCTGCTTGCACATGAGCTCTCTCTTTCTCTCTCTCTCTCTCAAAAAATAAAAATAAATAAAAATTTAAATAAAAAAAACACATTGCACTTTGAAAATAAGGTGCCTATATGTTCACATTGGATTGGAGAAAGGTAAGGCATAAAACACAATAGATAAGAGATGTTCAGAGTGTCCCAGAGATTCTAAGGCAAATAGCTGGGACCCGGGGAAAAAAAAGATGTGCAGAAATACTTCTTTTGTAGAAAATAAGGTAAGAGTTTTATTATTGTTATAAAATATAGATCTAACATTGTGCTTTGAACTCTAGCTTATTTTGAATGTTAACATTTATATAATTCATAAGAGGCCTGTGGTAATAACATATGACAATGCTGTTTATGCTTTAACCGCCCCTCTGCCCCCACCAGCTTTTTTATTTTGTGAGCTATGATGATGTCAGTGAATACAGCCTGCTCTTGATTGGACAAGATTCCATAAGATGCAGCTATAGTCTACTAAAAAAAATTAGAAATTATGCATTTTCATTTCTTAGGCTCACCCTACTTATAGATAACTTATAATTGCATCTAATAACAAATCTTCAGAAATTTTAATTTTTAATACAAAAAATTAAAAATAAAGAAAAAATAGAGAAGATTCATATTTTAATGACTGAAGACCACTCTACACAAAACACGAATCAAGAAAAAATCTTTTGATTAAGCTGTGCATAATCTATTGCCTTCATTACAAAATATTTCCTGTGTCCATTGATAGTTAATTAAAAACAAGACAGTCTCTTCAACAAATGGTGTTTGGAAAACTGGACAGCAACATGCAAAAGAATGAAACTGTACCACTTCCTTACACGATACACAAAAATAAATTCAAAATGAATGAAAGACCTAAATGTGAGACAGGAAACCATCAAAATCCTAGAGCACACAGTAGTAACCCTTTTGATATAAAATGTAGCAACTTCTTACTAGATGTCTCCTGAGGCAAGGGAAACAAAAGCAAAAATAAAACATTGGGACTATATCAAAATAAAAAAGCTTCTGCACTGTGAAGGAAGCAATCAGCAAAATGAACAATTCCAACAACCTATGAAATTGGAGAAGATATCTGCAAATGACATATCTGATAAAGGGTTAGTATACAAAATTTATAAAGAACTTATAAAATTCAACCCCCCAAAAGTGAAGAGTCCAATTAACAAATGGGTAGAAGACATGAACAGATATTTTTCCAAAGAAGACAGACAGATGGCCAAGAGACACATGAAAAGATGTTCAACATCACTCATCATTAGGGGAATACAAATCAAACCACAATGAGATATCACCTCACACCTGTCAGAATGGCTAAAGTCAACGATACAAGAAACAACAGGTATTGGTGAGGATGTGGAGAAAGGGGAACCCCCTTGCACTGTTTGGAATGCAAACTGGTGCAGCCACTCTGGAAAGCAGTATGGAGGTTCCTCAAAAAGTTAAGAAGAAAACTGCCCTATGATCTAGCAATTGCACTACTAGGTATTTATGCAAAGATTACAAAAATAGTAATTCAAAGGGATATATGCACCCTAATGTTTATAGCAGCATTATCTGAAATAGCCAAATTATGGAAAGAGCCCAAATGTTCATCTGCTGATGAGTGGATAAAAACATTGTGGTGTACACACACACACACACACACACACACACACACACACACACACACCACATGGCATATTACTCAGCCATTAAAAAAGATGAAATCTTGCCATTTGTAATGACATGGATGAAGCAAAGAGTATGATGCTAAGGGAAATAAGTCAGTCAGAGAAAGAAAAATGCTATATAATTTCACTCATATGTGGACTTTAAGAAACAAAGCAGATGAATATAGGGGGAAACAAAAAGAGAGGCAAATCAGGAAAAAGACTCTTAACTATAGAGAACAAATTGAGGGTTACTGAAGGGGAGGGTGAGGGAGCATGTTAAATGGGTGATGGGCATTAAGGAGAGCACTTACTGTGATGAGCACTGGGTGTTATATGTAAGTGATGAATCACTAAACTCTACACCTGATACTAATATTAGACTGTATGTTAACTAACTGGAATTTAAATAAAAATTTTTTAAAAATTCTCATTTTACAAAAGTAAAATTGTGAGTACTAAACCTGCATACCTTGTCTAGTATAGGGAATGATATTTGCTCACTTAAAATATTCTTCAAAGTATACTGAATTTCCCTGAAAGTTGTAACACGAGCTCCTGGATCGATATGAGTTTAACTCTCATATGCACATGTGATAGACATAGATATAGAGATATTTGTATATATGGATCCTCTTTAGCTGCTTAGAATTCTAGACCGCTATATCCATTTTTTCCTCAATGAATTGTAAACTGCAAGCCAATAAACTTGACTCTCACTGATTCAAAGGCAAACATAGTGTATCTTTCATACTATAGCTAGTCCTTATATCTCATTTTAGTCATTAATATAACATCTCTTTCCCCAGTGAATTATGTTAGCAGAATGACAAAATAAACATAAATCTGTCTCAAAATATTTGCTTACTTTTTGATGGAGATACTTACAAGAAATACTCGGGCCACACAATAAAGATGGGAAAGGACAAAAGAGAAGCAAAGCCCTAGTTTCTTATTTTTTATTTTATCTTTATTTTATTTTCCCAAATGCATGTACCTCTCTTTGTCTTTTCCCTTATGAATATCCTTAGATAGCATGACTTCCATGCATCACTTTCTAATTTGAATTTGCTATCATTCTCCCTCAAGGTGCCTTACTTTATTCTTATAAAACACACACTCAAAATGTCTATACCTAAAAAAATCTTCTATTTCTACTGTACTTTTGAATATCCTTCAATTTTCTCTTTCAAATCACCTAACTTCTTTGAAGGACAACATGTATCTACTCCTTAATCATCAATTATTCAACTACCTACAATCTGCATTCTTTTCCTACCTCTTTCTGGATTATGCATCTTTGACTATAATCACAGAACTTTTCTCAATTTTCTTTCTCCTTAACGTTTCCATAGCATTTCAGAACTATTAAGAAGTTTTTTGAAAGACTATTTTTTTTTTCTTTCTGGCTTTTGTTACATTATACTTTTCACTTGGAATGGAGCATATAATAGTATAGAGTTTTCCAAAATGTATTCTGTGGAAAACAAGTTGCTCAAGATGTTAATGGACAACACAAGAAAATAATTTTTCCCTATGGTCAAATGGATTTGAGAAACATTGGTTTAAATATAATTAAATGGGTCAGTTTATTGAAGAATATCTCAAACTTTTTAGCAAAAGGAAAGAAAAAAGATTTCAGATGCACAGAAAAATACAGTTCTCAGTTTTGCAGACCTATTAGAGGACAGAATCCTATATTTGTGGAGCCTCTCTATTGTTTCATGTAAAACTCTTTTGGAAATGTTAATTTAGTGGTTAAGTTTGGGGAATCAGGTAGACATGAATTCAAATCCTGGCTCTAAAACTTTCTATCCGTAGGATTTCGTGCACAGTATTCATTCTGTATAGTGTTAAGTAACGGCCAACACTTACTGCACTCTTGGTTTATGCTCAGCACTTTTCTATAAGCTTTACACATATCATCTAAGTAGGATGCCCAAGTTTCAGGAGTCCCTTCATTAGAACGTATGTTAAATGAATTAATAAATTAGTTTAAACACATATAGTGAGTAGCCATGTAATCAAGACTTTTGAGTCCTGAATGACTTAGCAGATGAGTCTCAGTTTCCTCAGCTATAAAATAGGGATAATAACACCTTTATAAATAATTTTTTGTCAAGACTAAATGAGACAAACACATTATTTAGTGTGGGCCATGTAGCTGACACACATAAGTTTTGGTTTACTTTCTCAAATACGGTGAATTAAAAACATATGCATTTAAATTATTCTAAAATATATGCAAATTATGGCACAGATTTTATGTGAACTAAAATGATGCCATATGCTTGCATGAGAATAGGACAGAAAGAGAAAAGAGAAGCAGCTGTTTCTTTGTTTTTTTTACCTTGCATTAATCCCAATAATCCATAGATATTAAGTTTATTGCTTCTTATTTGCTTCCATTCTGTGAACTCATTCATGTGTTTTGCTTCTTTTGCCCAGGCACTCAGCCATAGATTCTGCCCAATGCCTACCAAATTCTGCCCTACATAACTGGCCACACTCAGCCACACCCAGAGCCAGCCAAAGGCTTGGAGGTACTTCAGAATGATTGAGAACTTCACCTAAAAGCAAAGTTGATACAAAATTAGGTTACTGTACTTAAAAGTGAGACAAGGTAGATTTAAATCCTACTTGACATTTCTGGAGGCATGTGATCTTAGTCAAGTTACTAACTTCTATATCTCTCAGAGTACTCATCTCTAACTTGGAATAGTAATAGTAGCCACCTTATAAGTTATATGTAAAGTGCTGGCACAGTCTGGAGCACTTAAAAATAAATATTCAAATAATATTAGTTACTATCATTAGTAAACAAGAATATATATCACTAAGTAGCATGTAATCCTAATTAAACAACACTATATATCCAATAGTTCCATTTAATGTATGCTCTTCAAATTATTAAATAACAAACCTCCTCAAATTCAATGACAAATATAAATTTATTAATAATGCAATATAATCATATACATTAATATATATTAATAACAAATAATAATATTTATTCTGGTGCTTACCCCACCAATAGGGATCTTTTCCTTTTTCATTGAGAATTGTTTTCCTTGATCCAATGAGGGCCTGATAAAGCAAGACAATGTACATTTTGTAAGTTTTAGATTGACCAAGCATTTTTTTTAAATTATACATTCTCAACTGCTTTGCTGCATATTCCTCTGCCTTGATGATATAGCATTGTTCCTTTAATCTCTTCAAATGGAGAGTTCATTCTCTGATATCCCATATATTTTAAAGTCAGAAGAATAAGTCTGATCTTTTCCTTCTTCTACAGATAATTATCCTTCAAGTTTGAGCTAAATCCCTAGATTATTTAAGCTAATGCCACCTATCTGTACCATAATCTATGTCTTCTCATCTACTTGCCTCCTGGCCTATCAAAAATGGCATCAGGCTCACCGTCCCACTTTGTTCTGCCACCATCCTGAGTGATGTCATAGCTTACAGAGACAGCTCATTAAACTCAGTCTCTTTTCAACTTCAGAGCCATCATATATTTAGGGTCCTTCATCTGCATTCTACTTTGACCATCAATTGTCAGGTCCTTAAGTCATGAATCTTATAACCTGGAACTAACACACCTTGGAAAACTCAACTCTAAACATTTCAATCTCTGGCCATAACCTTTTCTATTCCAAATTGTACATTAAATTATTCTCACTACATTTGGTTTTTATTTCATCTAGACTTCCAGATCCTGAATCCAACTTTCTACCATCCTTGCTCTCTAGGATGACTAATGATTCTGGTTTCCCCAGATATTCTTAGTTTTAGCATTAACTGTCCCACATTCCAGGAAACTCTCAGTCCCATGCAAACCTATTATTTCTCTCTATTCCCTTCGATATGCAGCCTGT